GAGAGAGAGAGAGAGAGAGAGAGAGAGAGAGGGATTGATTTTCTTGGGAAGCAGCATGAAGGAAAGAAACGGACTTCCTCTTCATAAACATTTGGCAGAGGGAGAGCTGCCTTGGGCCCTTTCAGGTTCATGCGGACGAGGGGTGGGGGGACTTCATCTAAGTTTGTCTAGCCTCTTCCTTTGCTGAACAGCTGCCTTACATGAGCTTTCTGCACAAGCCTCCCCCAATGTGTAGGCCTGCAATTCCCATCATCCCCAGCCAACATGTACAACGGGGAAGGCTGCCTTGCATGGACTCACACCACTACTCCACCTCCTCTCCTCTTTCTTTCTATCCGCCGTATGGCCAGAGCTCTCCAGCCTGGTCCTGTCTGGTTTAGGGATGTGCGCAGAACCCCTCTGGGGGCAGGAATCCATGCGATTTGCTAGGCTCAGCTCCACAGGCTTTCCTGCAGCTACAAGTCTGAGCTCCTGGACGGCACACGCAGGGTTCACGCAGCCCTGTGTGGCTGCCACTAAGCGGCTTCCCTCCTCTATGTCATACACAGCGGCCATCGTTACGGGTCCTTCTCTGGGATCCCCTTCCAAAGGAAACGAGGTAGTATCTACCCCGAGAAGGGTCTTTTTGGTTCTGGCACTCCAGTTTTGGAATGAGCTCCCATAGGAGGTGCACCTATTCTGCATTCTCTTTTTTGCCAGCCGAAGTCCTTTTTATTTCCCCAGCATTTTAGCCATCTCACTGCTTAACTTTGTGCTTATGTATCCCATTTTATTCTGTGCCGCTGTTTGTTTCTGTGCTGAATCACAGCTATTGATGCACCTGGTGCCAAGTTTATACTCTTTTCGGTGCCAGGTCAAAACCTTTTTATTTAAACAGTATTTTAAAATTTAATATTTTTAAGTTTAAGTTGCTCTGTTTGTTTTGTGATTTATTGTTTTGTTCTGTTTTATTATTTATTGAAACTGTTGTTTTAATTGTTGTTTTAAATATTGTAAGCCGGCCTGAGATCTTGTATAATAAGATGGCATGCAAAAGCTTTTAATAAATAATAAAATAAATATTGCAATTATGGGTTTTCCCTTTTAAATTAATGCTTATGTTTGTGCTTAACCTTTGTGTAATATTTGTTAACCGCCCAGAGAGCCTTATCTACTGGACAGTATTAAAATGAATTTAAGGAATGCATTCATTGATTTGTTTTATCCACTTACCTGGGGCCCTTCCATGATACCAGGGACTGAATCTGTGACACTGCATGAAAGGTACCTGTTTTATAATAAGGCTAACAACGCGTGAGCGTACGAAGCCGGTGCTGAAGAGAATCATTGGCCCATGCAGTTCAGTACCGGCTCCTTGGACTGGGGACAGCTCTCCCAGACTTAACAAGAAGCTTTAACTGTTGGGTGCAGAACCTACAGCCTGGAAATGAAATTGGGCCTGCTTCCCGTCCCGATAGGGCCCGAGGACCCATCCCCTTTACCTGGGCTCTGGTCGCTGGAAGTAAGCTAAAATTACTTAGTAAACGTAAGCTCTGTTTTTTTAGTTCGTTCTCTGTAAGTGGCCCAGAGAATTTTTTAGGAATTGGAATGGCATACAAAGACCTAAAATAAGTAAACAACATCAATGGTCCAAGTAAATAAATAAATAAAATGGGCCAAAACCTTTGCCATTGCACCCTCTGTCTTTGGTCCAGCTGACCCTGGAATGCAGCCCCCGAATGTCATCCGAAATGGAATTTGGACCTTGGCTGGAAGAGATTCCACACTCCTGCTTGAACTGCTTGGGACCGAGCCTATAATCTTCAGATCTCGGCACCCCCCACCCCAAAACTGCCAGGGTGGCTTCAAGGGAAAGCAATGATTGAAGCTCAGAGCTCGGGAACATCCAAGCTGAGAGAGGCAGTGTGGTGCAGTTGTTAAGGGACTCAGGCAATCCGGGTTCGAGTCCCCGCTCAGCCATGGAGCCCACTGGGTGACTTTGGGCCAGTCACAGACTCTCAGCCCAACCCTCCCCACAGAGCTGTTGTTGTGGGGATAAGATGGAGGAGGAGGATGTAAGCTGCCTTGAGCCCTTTGTAGGAAAAGGGCAGGATATAAATCGAATAAATGAATAAAAAAATAAAAATCCAGGGATTCCCCAGCCTCCGAGGAGCTCTGTGCAAGCGCAGACTGTGCCAATCAGGGCCCTACCTCCGTCATTGTCTTTCCCGTCACCACATGCCGTCTCCATGGAAGTGTCGCAGCCTGCTCCTCGCCATCCCATCTGGCAGACACAGTGCCAGCCATTCATGTCCAGTGTGCACCGGCCGTTGCCGTTACACAAGCCAGGGCATCCCTCTGGAAGGGCAAAAGGAAGAAACAAGTTCCATGACACCAAGAAGGCATTAGGAAACCAACACGGAGTGCCGAGAAGGGGCACCCACCCGCTGTGCTCAGCAAGCAGGCTGGCAGTGCCCTTGGCCGGGGAGTTTTAGAGGTATGATCATTCTGCTTCAGCTCACAAACCGCTTGAGAACATCTCACTGGTGATCCCATGAGCAAGCACGAGATAATGTGCATTTGAGAAAATTCCTGAACTTGGGACTGCAACATGTGTAAGGGAAAAATGCATGACTTTCTCAAAACGCGTGCGTTTCTTAAAAAGCACGATGTTCTTGGAATGCAAAGCTAACGAACAAACTAAAATCATCCACAGTTTGGTTTCTGGGGCAAATTGACACAATTTTGTTCTTGTTCACAGCAATTTGTTTTGCACAATTATCAGCACACATCCAGGAGAGACACCATCAAAATTATCCGTCCCCAGATGGCATGTGCCCTCTGCTTTTTTGCTGAAAGGGAACGCTTCTCATGGTGCCCAAAGGCCATTTCACACAACCGCTTAGCCCAGGTTGACCTTTTCATGCAAACATCTGAGCCAGACCTGTGAATGCTTTGATAGGCATCCACATTGCAACTCTCCAGGTTAAATACTCTTTCTCTCATTTCCATATGGAACCATTATTACAGTTCTACCAATACAGAAAGGTTGTATCCTGAAACAAATATACAGCAATTTTTCTGACTCCCCCCAAATTTGGATAGATTTCCATTAATAAATACACATACAAATTCCTTTTCTTCTGAAATGAATGAAAAGTGAATCGATTTCTGCAGCCTCTATCTTGTTCAGCACAATTGTTTTGCTTTCAGTGATTTCCAGTTTTATCCTCTATAAGCAACTTCATCAACAATATTGTATCTTTTTAAAGAAGTATATATTTTCGAGTATATCTTGAGAAATAAAAAGAGTTTAGTACATTTAAAGAACAATCACTCCCCTGTACCCCCATCTCCTTTCCAGGGTGCTGCTTGGGGAATCTTGTAGGACCTCCTCCGTCTAAGCTGGTGTGGTGTGGTGGTCTGAATGTTGGACTGGGAGATCCTGGTTCTAGACCCGACTCGGCCATTAAGCTTACTGCATGACTTTGAGCCAGTCACTGCCTCTCAGGCTAACCTCCCTCACAGGATTGTTGTGGTGGCGATAAAATGGAGTGGAGGACTACGTAAGCCATCTTGTGTTCCTCGCAGGAGGAAAAAGGCAGAATGTAAATACAATGCAATAAATAATGACGACGATGATGATGGTGGTCACACACGGGATTACACCCTTCCTAAATTATGTATTGATCTGCTCTCCTCTACTCTTTCATTCCCAGTTCTGAAATCTTATCTTCAGAAGAAGGTTCATAATTTTAACAGGTTCCTCACCTTTTGGCCCATTTCCATCAAGCAATGACAATGGCATTTTTCTGCTCCTGTCTGTCCAGAACTACGAACATCTCCTGAGCTTATGAGGGCCAAAGTTTAAATCTTCAAAAAAGCAAAGTAAAAACACCTCTCCACAAACACATTTTAAGAGTGGCTCTCAGTATAATAACCTACAGGGATTCTATTCATTATCAGTATGGATGGAATTCACTGGGTTGTGCCTGACTATATCCCCCTTGCATGCTTCTGCAATTCGATTTTTTAAAAAACCCATTTCAGGCACAATCCTAGCCATGTCTAGACAGAAAAAAAAATCTGCATTTTTTGCCATGTAAACATCGAGACTATTAGGGTTGTTACCTAGACCTTCCTTGAGATTCTAGGAATGAGAGTCCTGAGCTGACTCTCAGCTCAATTTTTAAAACTTTTCTGAACATGACTATGATTTGGACTCAAACCTTCATCAGACTTGAAGATCAAATGTGCGCAAATATGGAGGAAAAATTCAACACAGGTTGACTTCGGTGCCTGTAACTACTTTCCATAGGTGTCAGAAGTGCTGGTGATGACTTCCCAGCATCACTTGGCACTCAGCAAACACTCTCCCTTTAATCATTCATTAATCATATTTACCGCCTTTCTTCTTGTGGGGAATCCATAACTCTCCTTCTCCTCTCTACTTTATCCTCAAAACAGCCCAGGGTGGCAGGGTAGGTTGAGCATCAAAGACTGGCCCAAGTCATGCACTGAACTTCATGGCTGAGCAGGGACTAGATCCTGGAGTTCCTGAGACCCAGCCCAGCATTCTGACTGCTCACCACACTGCCTTTTAGGGGCTCTCAAACTCCCTTTTGCCATGGAAAGGGTAACTCAATGGCAAGGCTACATCTTACCCATGTGCGGTTCACTGGAAGGTCCAACAGTTGTCCTAATGTCTCTATAAACTGTTTCCAAGAACATCAGCATGGTAGCTTATGGATCAGAATGACCATTTTTGTGTTCCCAAAGCGTAACAGTTCCTGGAACACCAATACCAAAAACATTATGATCCCCTGCATCTCCCACAATGGACCCAGCATGAGAAGGCAAGACTCTCTGGAGAAGACAATCATGTTAGGGAAAGTTGCAGGCCGAAGAAACACAGGAAGGCCAAGTAAGAGATGGAGGGGCTCCATCAGGGAAGCCACAGCCCTGAATTTAGGCATGGCTGTCATGGATGGAGCATTTTGGAGGGTTCATAGCTTTGCCATAGATTGAAGATGGCCTGACAGCACATCAGGTCTGTATGTATGAAAGTCCTGGTCAGCTCTTGTAATTCTGGATGGCGGCACCCTCTGTGAAGGAGTCCCTCCATCTCATAGCTGGCCTTCCTTTAATTCCACTGCCTTCAACTTTCCCAGCATGATTGTCTTCTCCAGGGAATTTCGCCTTCTCATGATGTGCCCAAAGTACGTCAGCCTCAGCGCTGTCATTTTTACTTCTAGGGGAAGTTCTGGTTTGATTTGATCTAGAAATCATCCTGTAGCATTAGGCAAATAATTTTGCTTAAGCCTCGGGCATGAATGCCCCCTCTTCTATCATCCTCTGGCATTTGCCAGATGAGATTGCAAGTACCTCCCTCCAGGTTTAAGCTAATTGCATCTTCATCATTACATTTGAACTGTGGTTTGATCTTGGCTCCGTTCAATAAATCAGACTTTAAACTATCCACAATTTGTACTTGCTGGTCAAAGGAATGACCTACAGTTAGTGTAAACCTGGAAGCCTGTGCTTCTGATCTCCTCTGGTATGCAAAGAAGCAACGGAAGAGGATTCAGCACTTGAGAAGACTCTGTGGCTGAATGTTGGGCAAGTATGTATGTACGGAAAGGATGTGGTCATGATGGTCTTTCCACATATACTTCTTGCAGGACATTCTGGAAGAAATGGTGAGCAATCTGGAAGCAAATTTGCTCCATACACACAGTGGCACTTCCCCCTGCCCATCAGGATGGTTTGCTCAAGAGAGAGCAAGCCAATACCTTGCAATTTCTCAAGACCAGTAGCCAGAATAATCTATTGCTAATGATTTGGGCAATTAAAACTCTTTAATTAGTCCCAGTCATATATCCCTCAAAAGACTCTTTCTGCAGAAGTCGTATCTCTAATTGAGATTTTATCTAGAGTTTGGGGTTGGATGTTGAAGGAATACAGGGCAGAAGAGGAGTTAATCTATTTCCTTCCTTGCCCTCCTTTTACATAAAGGAAAAGAAGGAAAGGGAAGGGAAGGGGGCATTGCTGTTTTCCTCATCAGATTTTGGTGGGGAAGGAAGATATTCCAGAAGGGCATCATAGCCACCATTGTGAAGAACACAACCAGTTATCACTGAGAGACCAGCCTTTGAAAAGTGGCTTATATTAACTCAGATGACGGGTCTGTCTCACTGAAGCTCTCCAGGGTTTCAAGAAGGAGCCTTTCCAGGCCCTACCTGTAGATGCTGGGGATGGAAACTGCAGCCTTCTTCGTGCAAAGCAGGAGTTCCACACCTGAGCTGCAGCCTTCCCCTTCCAAGCCCCCGAGCTTCTTGTTGCACTCATGGGCACGAGCCTGGACTGCCTGCTCTTTATGGAGACATCTTCACTTAAGACTCCTCCCATTTGATGGGGATCTTTACTGGTACGAAGGCCACTATCTCCATGGTTGCTTAGACAGGGGAATGCAAAGAGTGCTTTGATATGAAGGCCATGTAAAAGCTTCCAGCTGGCTGTGAAATGCTGGGAACCGTAGGCCTTTAAACATACACAGATTTGCACCCTAAAAGACAAGACTACATCTGGAAATGGTCATGAAAGCCAGCCACATGTGAGCAGGGGCCCCCAAGCGCTTTCTTAATTAAAACTCCGCCCTCTGCAGCTGCTGTTGAGCCAAGCCAAGTGTGTGGTCCCCCAGGTACTGCTGGATGGCAACTCCCATCAGCCCCAGCCAGGACAGCCAATGGTGATGCTAGAAGCGGCAATCCAGCAGCAGGTTCCTCGGTGCTCACACACATGGATGGAGACAAACCATTCACGTAGCCAGAAGTTTCTTCAAAGCTTCCACTGTAGTTGTTTGCATTGCCAAAAAGGCAAGCTGCTTTTCAGTTGGGAACCTCAACTGACAAGCAGGCTTCCTCTCCAGCGGCGGGAATCGCCAGGGAAGATCAGGGTCACCAGCATGGCTTCACAGTAATTTCACTGTGGTTTTGGGGACCACCTGTGGAACGTTCTAGGTGCCGATGGCAGTCCTAACACAGACCCTTGATTTCAGAACAACTGCAAGAGACCAAGTGCTGCACATCCAAAACAGGTGCAGTAATGTATATCCCTGGAGATTACACCTTTTGGTTCTCAGCATACTGAGTCGCTGGACTGCCAAAACCCACAGGAAGTGGAGAACCTGATCACACCACCTGGGACTGTTCATGAGAAACACAAATCTGAGTTATTGCTAAAAAGAGTTTTTTAAAAAATTGCAGGACAGCTGTGGGGATGCTGAATGACTGGGGGGCAGGGAAGGATTTGGGTGCAAAGCACTGCATGCTTAGACCGAAAAAAGTTTTTTTTCGCTT